GCTGGAAGGATAGGTTGGAGTCCAAAATGACACCAAGTACTCTGGCCTGCGGGGCGGGTTTGATGGTGGCGTTGTTGGACATGATGGAGAAGTCAATGGGGGGTGGTGTCCGGGCTGGAGGGAAGACAAGAATGTCGTCCAATCATCCTGGGCTGGAATACCTGATCACAGGGGCCAGAAGTTGGGTGACTCCATGCAACACAGATGTACAGCAGTTCTCAGAAACAGTGCGACTACAACCAAATATTCATGAAGTCATTCAAAGGAAAGCAAAATCTTCAAACATTTTTCAGTTTATATAGTGAATGTTTGAGTTTGTAAAGAAGAATACAAACACTGCGATTTTTTTGAACCATCTAATATTCACTTTTCTTCAATGTTTTTAGAGGAACAACACAAATTTGATCTATTTTTTCTTCATGTTTTGATTTGGAATAGAATGTGTCGTGTTCCCAATGCATTTGTGTGGATGGAAATAAAAGCTATTAGAAGGATTTTGAGCTTTATTCACTTTTTTCAACACACTGCTATTATTTTGAACACAACTGTATGTAAATGTATGACCCTATAGAAGTACCTGTAATAAATAAATACTCCTGAACTGTAGGTTGTACAGTCCCAAGCACCCGTGTGCATGAGGCCTACAGGTGTGAGAGCTGAACATGTTAATCTCCTTATATTGTACTGTAGAAGGTGTAATATTCATATGTAGCAAAAACAAATAGTTTCATTCTGTACTGTCACATCTTATTTGCTCTCAGTACAAGAACATGTTTTTCGAAAAGCTTTTTCTTTAACTCTCTCAGGGGTGAACACGAAGGCAGCCGCCGCATGAAGACTGAGTTACTGGTACAGATGGATGGCTTGTCCCGATCAGACGACCTCGTGTTTGTTTTAGCCGCTTCTAATCTGCCCTGGTAAGAGCCGCGGACAGTGTTGTGTGACTACATATCCGCAGTCTCTAAGCACAGATCAACAGAAAGGGTCTTAGTTTTGCTTAAAACATTTAAAGATTAATTGTGAGCTCTTCCTCCTCTCTTTAATGTGTTTTCTTTGTCGTCAGAATAAAAAAAAAATATAATCTTTATTTAAACTCAGATCTGCCATATGTCAGTATTTAACCTCCTTGGCGGTATTCCCGAGTGTAGCTCGGGGTAACATTTCAGTACCACAAACGGTAACCCCGAGCTACACTCGGGAATACCATGCGGCACTGCTCCGGCATTTGTTCTTCACTTACCTTACCCTGCGCTCCCGCGATGTGTCCCCTGCAGCGTCCCCGGCCATCTCCTCCGGCCGATGCCGGCATCCGGCTTCTGTGTCCTGTCCCTGTGACGTCGGGACGTACGAGCCCCGCTGGCGGCGGGAAATTTAAAAATTTTAAAAAATGTCTTTTTTTTTTACATTTTACATAGTAAAACATTGCTGTCTCAACCAATTTCACATACATCTTGTCCCTAATGCTTTGTCCTGCGCCCTGCTAGAGAACAGCAATAGTAAATCAGAACCACTTGCAGAATTGAGTGATAATGATTTGTGGGGAAATTCGTCATCAGACACTGAAAACGATTTTGCGACTTTGCTCAGCAATGTGCTAACTTGGCGCTATATTTCACATTTCAGTGTTTTGGGTTTGATTATATTATTGAATTAAATGTATTATTATTATATTATTATTTTTTATGATCATTTATTAAATTATAATTTATGATTACGTGTTTCAAATTTTATCCTACCCGGGATGTTTGCTAGACTCTTGTTCGGACAGATTTCAGTGAGTTATTCCTAAGAATTACAGGCCTACAATAAAAAAAAAAACTACATATTTGCATGCAAAAAAATGGTACCGCTTTCAGCACCAAAAATCGGAAAGAATCATACCGCCAAGGAGGTTAAAAGGCTCCCTGTGACTTTGGAGGCAAGTTATTTACTATGCTCCCAGTAAGAAGGGTTTTAACTTTCAAGTGTAAAGTACTTAAAGCTGTGCAGAGGGTGGAGTGAATGGAATGGAGGGGTCCTGTAATCTGATTTATATCTCTGTACATATGTGATGTCTCTTCTTACTGGTGGGATAAGAACTCAGCTGCACTGCAACCTTGCTGATCTCTCCATAATCTTTATGTAACAAAAACATTTAAAGCAGCCTTCAGAAACAGAGAATGGACTCTTGTTGAACCTGGTGTAATTGTTTTATTATTATGTTTCAAAAATGTTTTTTTATCGAATTGTAATGTTTTTTTTTTTTCTTGAATCATTGTTTTTTTAGTATTCATTTGTTGATGTTTCATGTTTTGGGGCATCGTTCTGGATGCCCTAAGTGGCAATGTGCATTATTCTGGGGTCTTTGTTGTCAGTATGCATTATGTGGGGATACTAAATGTCAGCAGGTATTGGTACAGGGTGCTACAAGTATCAGCATGCTTTGTTCTGGGTCCCATGTATCTGCATACATTTTTTTGGGGTCCATAGCGTTGGCATGCATTGTTTTCTGGGGTTGAAAGAGTCAGCATGTATCCATCTATGAGGTCCCGAGGGTCAGAATGCATTCTTCTGGGGTCCTTTGTATAGGCATGTATTGTTCTGTATTGCCAAGTGTCAGCATGCATTTTTATGGGGTGCAAAGTATCTGTAGACATTGTTCTAGGGTCCAAAATATCATCAGGCATGGTTTTGGGGTCCCAAGTTTCAGCAAGCATTGTTCTGTGGTCCCAACTATCAGCAGGCATTGTTTGAGGTCCTAAATATAATCAGGCATTGTTTTGGGGTCTTAAAAATCAGCAGGCATTATTTTGGAGTCTTAGCTTTCAGAAGGCATTGCTATGAAGTCCAAAGACTCAGCAGGTATTGTTTTGGGGTCCCAAGTATCAGCAGACATTGTTTTGGGGTCCCAAGTATCAGCAGACATTGGACTAGGTTGTAAACGGCTCACATGCCACGTCCATGATCATCAAATATACAGTTGTGTTCAAAATAATAGCAGTCTGTCGAAAAAAGTGAATAAAGCTCAAAATCCTTCTAATAGCTTTTATTTCCATCCACACAAATGCATTGGGAACACGACACATTCTATTCCAAATCAAAACATGAAGAAAAATAGATCAAATTTGTGTTGTTCCTCTAAAAAAATTGAAGAAAAGTGAATATTAGATGGTTCAAAAAAATAGCAGTGTTTGTATTCTTCTTTACAAACTCAAACATTCACTATATAAACTGAAAAATGTTTGAAGATTTTGCTTTCCTTTGAATCACTTAATGAATATTTGGTTGTAGTCGCACTGTTTCTGAGAACTGCTGTACATCTGTGTTGCATGGAGTCACCCAACTTCTGGCCCCTGTGATCAGGTATTCCAGCCCAGGATGATTGGACTACATTCCACAGTTCTTCTCTATTTCTTGGTTTTGCCTCAGAAACGGCATTTTTTGATGTCACCCCACAAGTTTTCTATTGGATTAAGATCCGGGGATTGGGCTGGCCACTCCATAACGTCAATCCTGTTGGTCTGGAACCAAGATGTTGCACGTTTACTGGTGTGTTTGGGGTCGTTGTCTTGTTGGAACACCCATTTCAAGGGCATTTCCTCTTCAGCATAAGGCAGCATGACCTCTTCAAGTATTCTGATGTATTCAAACTGATCCATGATCCCTGGTATGCGATAAATAGGCCCAACACCGTAGTATGAGAAACATCCCCATATCATGATGCTTGCACCACCATGCTTCACGGTCTTCACAGTGTACTGTGGCTTGAATTCAGTGTTTGGGGGTCGTCTGACAAACTGTCTCCGCCCACTAGACCCAAAAAGCACAATCTTACTTTCATCAGTCCACAAAATGTTGCGCCATTTCTCTTTAGGCCAGTCAATGTGCTCTTTGGCAGATTGTAACCTCTTCAGCACATGTCTTTTTTCCAACAGTGGGACTTTGCGGGGGCTTCTTGCAGATAGCTTGGCTTCACATAGGCGTCTTCTAATTGTAACAGTCCTCACAGGGAACGTCACACCTTCTTTCATCTTCCTGGAGCTGATTGTTGGCTGAGTCCGCGCCATTTTGGCTATTCTTCTATCCAATGGAATGGTAGTTTTTCGCTTTCTTCCACATCTTTCAGGTTTTGGTTGCCATTTTAAAGCATTTGCGATCATTTTAGCTGAGCAGCCTATCATTTTCTGCACTTCGTTATATGTTTTCCCCTCTCCAATCAACTTTTAAATCAAGGTACGCTGTTCTTCTGAACAATGTCTGGAACGACCCATTTTCCTCAGAATTTCAGAGAGAAATGCACTGTAACCAGCATGTACAACATTTGCTGCCTTCCTTCCTTAAATAAGGGCAATAATTGCCACCTGTTTTTCAAAGAATGAATGACCTCACTAATAGAACTCCACACTGCTATTATTTTGAATATGCCCCTTTCAATGAGTGATTCAATTACACAGAATCAGCAGCATGCATGTCATGACTGTTGGGTCTGTTAGATTTCTATTACTCTACTACACCTGCTAGGAAATTATTTGCCATGTAGAAATATCATTTCTACCAAAAACAGTGATTGATCCGGTTAGTGATGTCTGACTGCTATTATTTTGAACACAACTGTACACAACACAAAATAAATGTTGGGCTTTACTGGCATTGAAAGGGAACACGCATGTATATACTAATTTAGGCATTTCCTACTGCTGACTCACTCTACCACAAGGTACTAATAAATATACCAAAATTTAAGTAAAAATTTAAGTCAAATAAGAGAAATGTGTTGACCCATGAGGACTCACAACCACAACTCATTGCTTTGTACAATATATAGTGGTGGTTTTACTAATATTATCAGCAAACATTGTTTTGGGATCTCAACTATGGCAGGCATTGTTTGGGGTCCCAAGTATCACAAAAGAAAGAAAATAAGAAAAACGTGTTTTTACAAACACTGTATGCACTCATAAATACTAACGTTGGAATCAAAAATATAACCATGATATAACAGCAAAGTGTATTTTACGCAGGGAGCTGGACTATGCTATGTTAAGGCGGCTGGAGAAGAGGATTCTGGTAGATCTGCCCAGTAAAGAGGCGCGGGAGGCCATGATCCGTCACTGGTTGCCTCCTGTGAGCAACAGCGGAGGTGTGGAGCTGAGAACTGAGCTGCAGTACAGCACTCTGGGGGAGGTAAGAATTTTGTGTGCCCATACAATTCATATGGAATTTAAAGTGGACCTATAATCTGATGTATTTTTTGGAAATTTATTGCAGACTACGTAATATGTACATGTAGCACTTCCAGGTATTTAACACCTCTCACAGAGATCGCAACATGCCTTTATCTTCTGTTCTCGGATTGAACCATCTTTGTTCAGGCTCATCCATGGTCATTATCTAGTTCCTGGACTTGGGCGTTGGCTCAGAAATAACACAATCATATAAATGCTGGTGCCTGTGCAGTTCTTGGTTATGCACACAAATATCTGACACAGAGTAGACCTTTCTGCACCTTACCTTGTGGCTGGATGCAGGGTTACAGTGTAAATTCTGATCAGTGAGGTGAGTGAATTGAGGCAATGCATTCCCCTATCTGTAACAGACAGATGGCATCATCTCACCCTAGGAAAGGACACCCAACTGGAACGCAGAGACTACTTTAAACGAAAGATCACCTTTTAAAAAAAAAATGTTGCTGGATATTGTCATTCCAGGTATGTATTATTCAGACTAGTAAAGTTAAGAAAGGTCCAATTTTGGGGGTTTTACCTAAAAAATTACCCAATCAGGCTTCTCTCATGTAGCAAGGGATTTGGAACAGTGTACTCTTGTGTTGCAACCTTAGAGGAGAAATTTAAAGTTTTCATAAATCTGTGACCAATATACTATATATGCAACAGAAAAAATGTCAGCCTGTAAAATTTGAATGCACGCCAAACCAGCCACTGGAGACTCCAGTCTTCGTCTTTTTGCTGAGCTAAAAGCATTGATAGAATCTTCGGCATCCTTTCTCCTCAAACCACCACCAGTGTGCCTGTTCGGCCCACTAAAGACATAACACCTAAAGAGGGTCAAAACTGTGGAAGCTGTGCCCAAAGCAAAGGCAGACAGAGCGAAAAGGACTCCTCACCACTATTGCTTGTGGGCCGTCTGCAGTTGATCTGTTCCCCATTACTGACTTACCATGCTTTATTCTGCACTGTACTGTATCTCGTGTGGAGGCATCATCTGTGTACAGGCAGGGCTTTGCTTCCTCATGATAGAGCCCTGGATGATATCACACTGCAGATATACAGTTGTGAGGCTACAGAACAGAAGTTTCTTGGCCCAAGGTATTGCTTAGACACAATTACCATTTGCAAGTGTTCCCTATAACACACCAAGCCTTCACTTTTTGAGTTCAAGTCCACTTGATAGGTTCCAGAAGTTAGCCTTTCTCTGGTAATTTTCCCTCTCCATCCTCTCTTTTTGTGATTTGATTTCCCTCATTCATGTAATCTACCTTTGGTAGCTACAAGCACAAGCCAAGTGAGCCACACTTTAACCAACATGACATCATTTTGTGTCCTCAGGAGACTGACGGTTACTCTGGATCAGACATTAAACTGGTGTGTAAAGAGGCAGCTATGAGGCCTGTGAGGAAAATATTTGATGCACTAGAGAACCACCAGCCAGGTAAGCAATCAAAAGGACCACATTGGGAAATTCAACAATCGAGGTCACTCAAACTGCAATATATTACTTACATCTGCATGTCTGGCCTCACCTTGCCGTAAGCAGGGATTGTCCATATAAGCTGCGATTCTCACCAGCCACTTTATTAGGTACACCTTTTTAGTACCGAGTTGGAACCCCTTTTGCCTTCAGAACTGCCTTCATTCTTGGTGGCATAGATGTTGGAAACATTCCTTTAGAGATTTTGGTCCATATTGACATGATAGCATCACACAGTTTCTGCAGATTTGTCGGCTGCACATCCATGAACTGTTGATACAATGCAGGATGGATCCACCACACCATGACACTACCACCAGCCTGAACCATTGATACAAGGCAGGATGGATCCATGCTTTCATGTTGTTTACACCAAATTCTGACCCTACCATCTGAATGCTGCCGGTCTTCTCTGACCTCTGACATCAACAAGGCATTTTTGTCCACACAACTGCTGCTCACTGGATATTTTCTCTTTTTCGGACCATTCTCTGTAATCTTTAGAGATGGTTGTGTGTGAAAATCCCAGTAGATCAGCAGTTTTTGAAATACTCAGACCAGCCCGTCTGGCACCAACAACCATGCCACTTAAATCCTCTTTCTTTCCCATTCTGATGCTCAGTTTGAACTTCACCACTTCTAGATGCCAAAATGGATTGAATTGCTGCCATGCGAATGGCTGATTAGCAGTTTGTGTTACCAAGCAATTGAACAGGTGTATCTAATAAAGTGGCTGGTGAGTATAAATTAATTTTAAAAAAAAGGTCCATCAAACTGCTATGGGCTGGTTTTGGGCAAATTAACAGGTTTGCTGTATGTGTTTTGGCTTTTTAGCAAACATAAAGGAATGTTTCGAAAATATTTATATCTCATTAAGTTCTAGCAATCGGTATACATATGTAAAGGGTTAGATAAACTGTCTCACTCTAATACCAGACAAACTCTGGGGGAGATTTACTAAAATTGGTGCTCTCAGAATCTGGTGCAGCTGTGCATGGTAGCCAATCAGCTTCTAACTTCAGCTTGTTTAATTAGGCTTTGGCAATAAATCCTGGAAGCTGATTGGTTTCTATACAGAGCTGAACCAGATTTTCCACTCTCCAGCTTTAGTAAGTATCCCCCACTGTCTTTGAAATACTCTCATTCAGTTTGGAAGCCCCCATGGGTAGGCTAAGAGCACTGTGATGCAGAGGGCCATAACTATAGCATGAGTAGGAGGTAGGCTCTAATCATGGGAGAGCTTATAAGGGGTGGAGGTGTTTGGGACCTAGGTCCAGCACAGGGCAGGACTTGGCTTCAAGTCAGATAAGAGGGCTGCTCTATAGCTATAGGGCCTTAAAAGATGTGCACAAAATATTGTAAGGTACTCTGTACTTTGCGGTCCCTTTAAAATGAGAATTAAAAATGTAATTTTGGATGAGGTAATTCTAGAGAAACTGTTGGCCTGATTCTTAGCTGCATTACGATGTAGATATTAGGATATTTATATGACTCAATATTCTTCGGTCAGTGAAGGGCATAAATTAAGTAGCGTCAGACAGGAGGCTCAAGAGCAGCTTACACATTGCAGTTAGACAGATATAAATACAGATCTATCCTAAGACAACTACAAATGTAGGTCTGTTCCTGGACATTTTCAAATGTAGGTCTATCCTCAAACATGGGTCTGTCCTCAGACATCCTCAAATGTAGATTTAAATATGCGTATCCTCACACATAAGTCTATGTTCAAATGTAGGTCTGTCCTCAGACATCCTCGAATACGAGTCTCTCCTTACATCCTCAAATGTAGATCCATCATCAGATATCCTCACACGTAAGTATATGCTCCAACATCGGTCTGTCCTCAGACATTCTCAAATGTAGGCCTGTCCTCAGACATCCTCAAGTGCAGGCCTGTCCTCAGACATCCTCACATGCAGGTCTGTCTTCAGAAATCCTCACATGCAGGTCTGTCTTCAGACATCCTCAAGTGCAGGCCTGTCCTCAGACATCCTCAAGTGCAGGTCTGTCCTCAGACATCCTCAAGTGCAGGTCTGTCCTCAGACATCCTCAAGTGCAGGCCTGTTCTCAGACATCCTCAAGTGCAGGCCTGTCCTCAGACATCCTCAAATGCGGGTCTGTCTTCAGACATCCTCACGTGCAGGCCTGTCCTCAGACATCCTCAAGTGCAGGCCTGTTCTCAGACATCCTCAAGTGCGGGCCTGTCCTCAGACATCCTCACGTGCGGGCCTGTCTCCAGACATCCTCACGTGCGGGCCTGTCTCCAGACATCCTCACGTGCGGGCCTGTCTCCAGACATCCTCACGTGCGGGCCTGTCCTCAGACATCCTCACGTGCGGGCCTGTCCTCAGACATCCTCACGTGCAGACCTGTCCTCAGACATCCTCACGTGCAGGCCTGTCCTCAGACATCCTCACGTGCAGGCCTGTCCTCAGACATCCTCACGTGCAGGCCTGTCCTCAGACATCCTCACGTGCAGGCCTGTCCTCAGACATCCTCACGTGCAGGCCTGTCCTCAGACATCCTCACGTGCAGGCCTGTCCTCAGACATCCTCACGTGCAGGCCTGTCCTCAGACATCCTCAAATGCAGGCCTGCCTTCAGAAATCCTCACATGCAGGCCTGTCTTCAGACATCCTCACGTGCAGGCCTGTCCTCAGACATCCTCAAATGCAGGCCTGTCTTCAGACATCCTCAAATGCAGGCCTGTCTTCAGACATCCTCAAATGCAGGCCTGTCTTCAGACATCCTCAAATGCAGGCCTGTCCTCAGACATCCTCAAATGCAGGCCTGTCCTCAGACATCCTCAAGTGCAGGCCTGCCTTCAGAAATCCTCACGTGCAGGCCTGTCCTCAGACATCCTCACGTGCAGGCCTGTCCTCAGACATCCTCACGTGCAGGCCTGTCCTCAGACATCCTCACGTGCAGGCCTGTCCTCAGACATCCTCACGTGCAGGCCTGTCCTCAGACATCCTCAAGTGCAGGCCTGTCCTCAGACATCCTCACGTGCAGGTCTGTCCTCAGACATCCTCAAGTGCAGGCCTGTCTTCAGACATCCTCAAATGCAGGCTTGTCTTCAGACATCCTCACATGCAGGCCTGTCTTCAGACATCCTCACATGCAGGCCTGTCTTCAGACATCCTCACATGCAGGCCTGTCTTCAGACATCCTCACATGCAGGCCTGTCTTCAGATATCCTCACATGCAGGCCTGTCTTCAGACATCCTCACATGCAGGCCTGTCCTCAGACATCCTCAAATGCAGGCCTGTCTTCAGACATCCTCAAATGCAGGCCTGTCTTCAGACATCCTCAAATGCAGGCCTGTCTTCAGACATCCTCAAATGCAGGCCTGCCTTCAGAAATCCTCACGTGCAGGCCTGTCCTCAGACATCCTCACGTGCAGGCCTGTCCTCAGACATCCTCAAGTGCAGGCCTGTCTTCAGACATCCTCACATGCAGGCCTGTCTTCAGACATCCTCACATGCAGGCCTGTCTTCAGACATCCTCAAATGCAGGCCTGTCTTCAGACATCCTCAAATGCAGGCCTGTCTTCAGACATCCTCAAAATGCAGGCCTGTCTTCAGACATCCTCAAATGCAGGACTGTCTTCAGACATCCTCAAATGCAGGCCTGTCTTCAGACATCCTCAAATGCAGGCCTGTCCTCAGACATCCTCAAATGCAGGCCTGTCCTCAGACATCCTCACATGCAGATCTGTCCTCAGACATCCTTACATGCAGGCCTGTCCTCAGACATCCTCAAATGCAGGCCTGCCTTCAGACATCCTCACATACAGGTCTGTCTTTAGATATTCTCAGAGGTCTATCCTCAAACAGACCTCCTCATACAGATGTCTGTCCCCAGGTTAGAATCATTTGACAGCTTGGTCTTCACTGCTAGCTTCTAGATCAGAATTCATGGCATACTAGCATTGAAAGAATTATCGAAAGGGGAGATAAAATAAATCTGTTACATTACGATAATGAAAGCTAATGTACAAATTCTAAGATGGTTGGTAAAAACTGGAAAATTCTAGTTTACTCACAAAACTGTTTCTTATACATGCATGTAGTGCTTATTAAGATGGTATTTCCATACCTAACCCATGCTCATCTCTTTAGGAAATAAGGACATGCCAGTGATTCGTCTAGACACGGTCACCACATCTGACTTCCTGGAGGTTTTAGCGCACACGAAGCCTTCCGCCAAGAGCCTGGCTGAGAAATACAGCGCCTGGCAGAAGGAATTCGAGTCTGTGTGATAAACACTTCACCTGACCACCAGCAAAGAACAGACTGCCCCCCCCCAGACACTTCTGTTACTGCAACCAAAGTGACTTTTACTATAGACGACAGCTGGTATTTTTTTTTTATACCAGTTTTTATACACCCTTTGTGGCACAAACACCACAGACTGCTGAAGTTTTAGTTGATGTGGTTATTGTGGCATATTTTGCACTGAGACTAATAAAGACGTTTTTTGTTCCTGGGTGCTCTGACTGACACAAATGGACATCGGGAAGGTGGAAGCAAGCAAAATATTACATTTGCTTAATTCAGTAAACTATGATGAATGAGTTATTTGCTGATACATCATTTCTGGTCATGTGACTAGATTGTTTATTTCTCATTAGAAAGTATTGATTATGAAAGTGTATCGAAATCCAAGAGCAAAAACTGTATATATTGCAGTTTACCCCTTAGATGTGGCAGCTGCACCAGTTTTCTTATTATGGGATTCCTTTTCTTTAATTTTTCAACTTGTGATCCTGCCAATAACACACTTCCTGTCCTAAAGTGACAATGTTCACTGTCTGTATGGTATCAATGATGGAGCAGCATTGTCACCCTGGGGCAGGGCTAGAAAAAACCTCTCTGTTCTCTATTCTATACAATAACAGGGGAAGGGTTCTCTAGCTCTTAAGCCTTGTACATACAATGAGAAAATCGGGTGAAAAATATCGCTTTCGGAGCGATCATCACTTAATCTTTTTGTTAGTACACAGCTTTCCAGAGCCAATCATGACAGTACGTGCAAAGTTATCCGAAGGAACAAACACAAAATGTTTTTGTGTACGATAACAGAACAAACGATTTCTAATGAGCACATTATATCAAGTGACCAAAGACCGCGCATGCTCAGGAACAAAAGAATACATTACATCACTTCTGAAGTTGTATTCTGCCTTATGAGAATTTTCATAACTTTAGTAACCTCTTCATTTTCAATACAAGACTAGCATGCAAAAAAAAAACCCAAAACAGCTTCCTTTTTTTTTTTTTTTCGTCAAAGCTTAATTGAACAAGCTGAAGTTAGAAGCTGATTGGCTACCATGCACAGCTATATAAATAAAGAAATAAGTGAGCGCTTTTAAAGTTCGAGCAGCTAGGCACATAGGATAACCAACAAAAATCCTCACAAGAAATTATAAATAAAGTGCAGCGCTAAAAATAAATAAAATTGACATATATAAGTGTCACAGTAGGTAAATGTGAGTAAAAATAGTCCCAGCAAAGGTGACTTGGAGTAAAAGTGCACACTAACCAGATGTGCACATTAAAAGTGCAATGTAGAGATCATAAAGCTCATGGGGTAATCATCAGAATGGAAATGGTGTTCCCTTGGCCAGAGAAGATCCCGGGTGGTGCAGAGCTGGACAGGAAGAAATCCTCTTGATAACAGGAAAACAACGAACGTTGATCCACCAGAAGAGCACGACTCCTCCACTAGGCAAAAAACGGTATCTGGGAAAAAAAATTGCTCCCCACGGGGGGTCAAGAAAAGATGCCCATAGTGAAGTATTGCTTAAACAAATTTATTTGTAGAAAAAATTACAGTAGCAAGGGGGATGCATCCAGTACAGTCAAACAAGTACAGACAGGACTAACCGTCCTGTCAGATGTAATGGCCGCCGGAGCTCCACGATGCTCCAACGGCGTGACGTCACGGCGTGTGTAGGCTCCTCCTTACGCGTTACGTGCCAAGCACATCCTCAGAGAAAGAACCAGATTTTGCAATCTTCAGTTTTAGGAAATCTCCCTTTATGTGCGATAGTACCTGAGCCTTACCTACAAATAATTAAGTCCAAACTTTACCACTAACAACTTGATAAAAAACAATGTTCTTTAGCAAAGAAAATATATTCCACAATAATACTTCTGCTACCAAAATTAATGGTTTGTTCCTGTCCCTTCTTGTTGGAGGCTGCCATTTTGCTGAAACCCAGAGCCCCTGAGCAGCAGTAAATCTTTAGGTTGTCGGCAGATCGGCCTCTACAAATTCGGCACAGTGCTGAAAAATAGAGAGTAACTGAGCATGTGCAGAGCAGGGCGAGACAGTATATTGCTGGATCTTAAACAGTATAGGCACCTATTTGTTTTACATTGCTATACCTGCAAACGTGGCCGGCATGTAGTGATCTAGCAGGACTTAATTTTCTGACTTAAGATCCACTTTACTCCTATAATGCCCATCCTGCACAGGGACCAATGCTGGAAACACAAGTACCACAGGGATGCTGGCACCAAAAATAACTAATGCCGCAGACTCCTAGGTGGATTCTTCTCTGTATTATACTGACATGATGCCCCGCCCCTTCCCATGAGCACCCTCCGCTGTCATGCAGATGCAAAATGTTGTAACTTGGCTTCATAGATGGGGAGAAGGACACACACGGAGCACAGTACATATACACTAACCGGCCTCTGTATTAGATACACCTGTTTAGTTGCTTGGTAACATAAATTGCTAATCGGCCAATCACATGGCAGCAACTCAATGCATTTAGGCATCTAGACGTGGTGAAGACAACTTGATGAACTTCAAACCGAGCATCAGAATGGGGGAAGAAATGGAATTTAAGTGACTTTGAACGTAGCATGGTTGTTGGTGCCAGATGGGCTCGTCTGATTTTTTTCAAAAACTGCTGATCTACTGAGATTTGCATGCACAACCATCTCTAGGGTTTGCAGAGAATAGTCTGAAAAAGAGAAAATATCCAGTTGTTTGGAGGAAAATGCCTTGTTGATGTCAGAGGTCAGAGGGGAATGGGCAGACTGGTTCAAGATGATAGAAAGGCAACAGTAACTCAAATAACCACTCATTGAAACCAAGGTATCAGAATATTCTAAATGCACAACACGTTGAACCTTGAAGCAGATGGGCTACATTAGCAGAAGACCACACTGAGTGCCACTCCTGTCAGCTGAGAACAGGAAACGGAGGCTACAATTCACACAGGATCACGAAAATTGGACAAAAGAAGATTGGAAAAACGTTGCCTGGTCTGAGGAGTCTCGATTTCAGCTGTGACATTCAGATGGTTTATCGGGAACAACATGAAAGCATGGATCCATCCTGCCTTGTATCAACAGTTCAGGCTGGTGGTGGAGGTGTAATGGTGTAGGGGGGGGGGGGAGATTTTCTTGGCACACTCACGGCCCCTTAGTACCAATTGAGAATCGTTTGAACGCCACAACCTACCTGAGTATTGTTGCTGACCATGTCCATCCCTTCATGACTCCAGTGTCCCCATCTTCTGATGGCTCCTTCCAGCAGGATAATGCTCCATGTCACAAAGCTCAAATTATCTCAAACTGGTTTCTGGAACATGACAATGAGATCACTGGACTCCAATGGCCTCCACAGTCACCAGATCTCCATCCAATAGAGCACCTTTGGGATGTGGTGGAATGGGAGATTCGCATCATGGATGTGCAGACAACAAATCTACAGAAACTGCCTGATGCCGTCATGTCAATATGGAGCAAAATCTCTGAGAAATGTTTCCAACACCTTGTTGAATCTACGCCACGAAGAATGAAGGCAAAAAGGGGGTCCAACCCGGTACTAGCAAGGTGGACCTAATGAAGTGTCCGGTGTGAGTGTATGTGCCGGGGTTATGTTCCCAGATACTCACCTGTTCTAACTAGGATGCCCAACATTCCGGTATTCTGTGCCCCTCCGATGTCATCCCTGGAGTCCTGCATAGAGAAAGCAGAAAATGGTTCAATATCCATCTATGTTTATTTATTGTGTTACACCAGTTCTGGCTTTTATACAGAAGTGAGCGGATGCATTTGTGTCGTGTTTATCACACATTCACATTGACTTATATGGGGGGAAAAGCAAACTAATCTACTGACAGCAGTCCATCCCAAAAGCCCATTCACACTAGGCTAGGCTTTGTACATACGGGATTCAGTATCTGGAGAGCAGCGTGTACACATAGCCTTTCTTTCAGTGTTTGTAAAGTTTTCAGCCAGCTTCAAGCAGCTTTTTTGAAGCCTTTAGAGAAGAGCTTTTGTCACCCGTTTTACAGAGTAAACAGAGTCTGAATTGGGGGGGGACGCTGGTTTCTTGCACTTCTCTGCATATTCAGCACTTGGCTGTGAACTCTCTGATTGTGGAGGTAATGGCAAAAAAAAGGCCACTAGAGGTCAGTGCTGCACTGCAGACTTTGGCTGCTGCTGTATGGGCAGTTAAGGTTTCCCCCCCTCCCCCCCAGTCTGTATAAAGGCGACCATACACAGCGATTTATAACCGATCTAGGGACCACCACACACTAACAAGCGAATCGACAAAACTCTGCCACGGCTAATCAATGCAGCACAATGGAGATCAATTGACAGCTCCCAAAATCATTCCAACTTAGGGCCCCCGCTTTGTGATTTACATTTACATCAATCAGATCCGATCTCACCTCTGTACACCCCCACAGCAACCTTTACATATTTGTCATATTACATATGTCTGGATTTTTTCTTTTTAGGAGCAACAAGGCTTTCCTTTGGTGATGTTGTCTTTCAAAAATATGACCTGATGCTGGGTTTGTTATTTTTCTGTAACTCTGTTTAGCTAGTGTTGTGATCCAGGCACCCCTGTCAGACAGCACAGCCAGGACACTGACCTTGCGTTTCCCCACTGCAGCTAAGATAAAGATCCAACCTGGACTGGAGAACACAGGAAGAGCAGCACAATTAGAACATGATCATTTTATATGGGGGGGGGGGGTGAAGGTCATGTACTTTTTTTTACACTTTCTTTTACATTTTTTGCACTAAACTTTATGTTTCAGCACATAGGGGAGAAAAGGTCCCCTATGTGATGATTGTTCTTTTTGGTGACAGGCTTGCTTTAATGTGGCATCAGGGGCCTCACCTTCCCTCCAATGCAGATAATATAGTGCAGATCTTGCTTCATTATCTTCTAAGTGACACCGGGACCCAGAAGTGACATTTTACACATCATTTCGGGTCATTA